TTACAATTTTCAATGTGGACTTACCGATGTATTATAGGCTATAATAATAATATATATCATTATATATATAAATTAAACCAATATACAAACATTAATAATACAAAAACAAAAGTGAAAATAAAAAAAAACTTTGCCAGGGGAAGCTTTTATGTTATTTAAACAAAGAGGAAAGAGGGAAACCATTGTTGGACAGTTTTAAAACTGCCTTTTTTTTTGTTGGGCAGCCAGGAAATCAAAATTAATATTATAATTTGGCCACCCACTTCATGGAAGAAAAAAGGTTACAAAATTTATTTTTTTTACTTGTTGAATTGAACAATTTATGAATGTTGGGAATTTGCAAACAAAAGTTAAATAAAAATTTGATTAATGGAACGTATTAATCCATAAGCCTATATTCAATTATTTTTCTTTACTTTGAAATTTTCTATAAAAAAGCAAAAAACCCACATTCTCCCACAAAATTAAGGCAAAGTCTTTATAAATATGTCATGATGGAATCTGGTGAAGTTTTTTGCCAAAATGTTCTGGTGCAAAACAGCTTGTGGGTGGTCTTCACAAAAAGAACAGTTTGTATTGATGTCTCTTTTAAATTGAACCATGTAATGATAAGCAGGGTAATATCTATGAATTATTCTGAACTTTCACCCTGTTTATTATCAGGTATCTGTGAGGAATCATCCAAACTGTTTTCCAGTCGATGTCGTTTACAAAATAAAACAATAAAACACAATAAAATTTATTTTTTTTCTGAAACAAGGCACGAATGTTCTTATTATTTCGAGGAACATTAGAAAAACATATTTTTCCAAGAGGAGGGAGACAGAAGTGGGTGGAGTTGTGCCAGTATTTCCAAAAAGCATTATTTTATTTTCGAACCTCCCGCAAATCTGCGGCTGCGCCATGACGTTCGAGGCTAGACGGAAGCGTGGGTCTCCATGGAAACCCCGTGGAACAAACTTTTCCTTTAATGGATGACAGTTTTTCAGAAACATGACAGGAGACAGCGACTACAGCAAGTACGACTCGGCACGACTGCGGGCGGAACTTGAACAAGAGAGAGAAATGAAGTGAGTTGGCATGAATGTATTATTACTTACAGGGGAGATTAAATGTTATTTCCTACTGAAAGAGTAGCATTGTCTGGCTCTTGATCATAGAGAAATGCTTGAAGAGTCAGTCTCTGATCTGCGGAGCACCATGTGTGAACTGCAAGAAAGACTGCACAGTGTTGATGGGGAAGGTGAGATCAAATTTAAGTATATCTTATAATACATAATTATAGCCTATAATTTAACCCAAGTCTGCAACTTTTACCTACAGTGGCAAGATGTTACCCAACAAAAGACTTGGTTATACCTGCTGGTATCCACTGGTTTAGTTATATCAGGCCAGTGACCCTCCAGTGTTGTCTGTAATGTGATCATAGTGTGGCAGTTTTCTTCTATTTATTCTTACACACCAGGAAATGAGTGGAAGACAAGGTATGAAACACAGATAGAGCTAAATGGACAGTTGGAAAGACAGACGTCACTCATTCACGAGAGACTGGAGGACCTACGAGGAAACCCCATGGGTAAGTTCACAGGCTTCAGCTAATTTTCTAGCATGTGAGGGGCAGCCTGCATCGTGTTTTCTCCACTGGAGGGGCAGTGGGTCCCCAACCTTGTTTTATTAGACGTACCCCCACAGCCCAGTCCGATGAACTCAAGTACTCTTTCATCGACACCACCATTTATGTTCCAAAGGTGTGAATCATATAAACGATGATATAATAGTGTAACAGTATTTTCATGCAGGCCATTAATAGGCCATTCATGTTAAATGTTGAATTAAGAGGTCGGTGTACAATGTTTAGTTCGGTTTGGTCAAATTTACATTAGTAATATAATCAAATGGAGTTCCAAGAGCTGGACATTCATCCCATGTCGTCCCTTCTCTCCCTCCCCTGTCTCTCCTGTCCATCTCTCCAGCTGACACTGTCTAATAAAGCATAAAATGCCAAAACAAATCTGTAAATAAAAGTATGGGGTGTTTAGCAACATCCCATGAACGCACTGCCCCTGATGACAACAACATGTTACAAAATTAATCATATATTCACCCATCTCAAGCGAGTTTGTATTTTAATGCGTGCTCACACAATGCTCGCGCACTTTCTCTTGTTTTTCACAGATCGACTGGCCTCCATCCGATCTTATGACGACATGCCAGTAGTGAGTGCAAACATGTTCATTTTCTATCTGATCTGTTTTGTTGTATCGGTGCCATTTAGTGAGTTGAGTTTACCAGCAGAGAGAGCCAGAGACACAGAATGAAGAGAGGACAGGCAGGACAGAGAGGATTGTAATGCCAGCTGCCCTCCATCCTCCAGTTGATACAGGCTGAACAAACCAGAGTTTAATCACAGCACTGTAATCACAGGATTACAAACCATGGGAGAGTAATGCACACTAATTACAATGCTTTAACACACACACACACACGGATTCACACTATACGCTGAAAGGTTGCACAATACAGTCTAAATGTGTGTGTGTCTGTGTGCCTTAAGGCAGAACTAACAGATGCTCATTAGTGTTTTCGAGGAGTGACAGCAAGATTGTGGACCGAAGCACTGTGAGTGTGATAGCAAGATTGTGAAAAGAATAGAGGTTATTTTAATTAGCGCAGTGAGTAAATATTTAGACCAAAGTGTTTGGAACATTTCACAGTGTCTCTGATACAGTCTATGGCATCAGTGCGAGCACAGCTCCTGACTACTTGAGCTTCACATCTGAAAAATGATTTCTGTAAAACAGCACAGCTGATGCTTCTAATGAGATGTACTTTGGGGTGGTAAACATCCTCTGCTGTGAAGAAAATGTCTGTGCTATGAAAATGCTTCACAGTCAATGATTAAGATGATTTGAATATACATTAGTATACATTCATGTATTTTCCCACATTCAATGCACACTGATTCTTAAAAATTGGTATGATGCATGAATATTGCTGTTACGTCTTGGTGGTATGCATTGAAACTGACTACAGTTGCTTAATTTGGGGCACATGAAGAAAAAAGAAATTGAACCCACATATATATATATATATATAGATATACATGAAAAATGATTTCTGGACACACACACACACACACAACACTATATATATATTATATATCTATATATATATATATATCATACAAGTTCCATCTAGCCTTACTGTGTCTGAGCTCTAATACGTTTATTTTGTTATTGAATAATGCATGAGCCTAATCCATTTTTGCTGTCATGTGTTTTGCATTAAGTATTCTGTTGTTGTTTGATCCTCATATAGAGCATAGTGTACTTCTAGTACAAATTGATTTGTAATTAGACAGAAGCAGTACAGTCTTTATACACAGTGTTGCTAATTAAATGGAAATGTTTTGCGGCAGGAGACACTGAGACAGCGCCTGAAGATCCTGACTGAGGAGAAGTCGGGCCTCCAGAGTCAGCTGATGGACTGTCATCTCAGAATCGAACAGGAGGGAAAGGTATGGTTCTAGTTGACAGATTTTGTGTAGAGGGTCACAATGTCTGCTGGTCTATAGTTTTATTATTTCTCAGACAAGCAGCTTTACATTTTTCTAGGTGATAAATATTTCAGCTACAAATTACCTTCATTAGCAAAGGATTGAAAAAGATTTGGCTGATATTTTTGTTTTTTGCATTCTTTACTTTTTAGCAATCACTGATGCAAAATTGAACCCAAACCCTTTGTCCTGTACTGCTGCGGCTAGGCCAGTATGCTCTTAGTTTAGCGACTTGGCTCTTTGTTTATTGTTCTGCTTAACAAACAGCAAGATATTAGTTGAAAAAAAGGTTTAACACGCAGCCATGTGCAGCCAATCCACGTAATCCAAGTTCTAATCTGTTGCTCATTAACACGAAGACCTCCTGAAATACACACAGGCAGCAAACGCATACCAAGCACTACAACCATTAGCAGATTATTACTGACAGTTAAATATGTGACAAAATGGACCTCTGTTTCTTTCAAATATCAGGCATTTCATAAAACCAATGATGAGAGGCGGGCATACCTTTCAGAAATCGCTAAGGTAAGCATCCCTTTCATCCATGTTAACAGTTTTGCTCGAATCTACTAACAAGTCGAGCAAGTAGCTCTCAAACCAAACCTATTGACTACTAATCATTGAATATTAAATATATACCACACCGAAGAAAAGCTGTGCTGGTTCAGTGTTACAAAAGGACAATACAGTGTAGAGAGCAGACTGATGTACTCTCTAGCTCTTCTCTTTCAGGCCTAGTTATGATTTCTCATTCATTCTGTAGTGCTGTGCTCTCTTGTTATATAATAGGTGAGTCTCTGTTCAACCAAAAAAAGTGAGTCAAGGACTTTCTGCCTTATGCTGCAACAAAACTGGTTCCTGCAGGGCTGTCACAGACGCAGCTGCAAGGAACCTCAACTACATTTCTCTCTCAATATTCTATGTACCTTTAGAAACAAATCTTTACATTTGAATTATCCCATAACAGTGTGTGACTGGCTCATGCCCACTGTGAGCCACACAAGCACACATACACACGTGCATACAGCTAAACACAATGTTTATGTGTCTGCACTTACTGTAATTACTCGTGAATTTTGTCCACTGCCACAGCTGTCCTCCACGCTGGAAGGCCAAAGAAGACAGTACTCCACCCAGCCACAGAGGGCACCAGAGAGCAAACAGAGGAGGTGAGTGAGGCATGACACTTAAAGGTGATGGACACAATAATATAAACAAACTATGGCCTCAGAAATGACTGTACAATTTAATTAATAACAAAATGGAACGGGATAAACTTCACATAGGTACAGCTTGTTTGAGGGTGTCTAAAATGTAAGTATTTATAAGGGACTGCGTACAATATTATATAAATATATATGATATAAATTTTATGTATTTTCAGCAGGTAGCTTATTTGCAGTCCAGTGAAAGATTACAATAAAAAAGCCACCCTAATGACATGGAAGTAAAATTACCAATTAATCAATCAATCCAACTTTATTTGTATAGCACCTTTCATACAGTTTAGTGCAGTTCAAAATGCTCCCCAGACAACTAACAAGATGATAATAAGACAGAATGGAGTAAGAATTAAATAAGGTAGATTTAAAAATAGAATGCAATGGTAAAAATAACAATAAAATACAATACAATCGATTTTACAGGTATAACGATAGTATTTAATAAAAGTTATTCTAAAAACTAAAAATGAATTAAGAAATCTGGCACAAATAAAATCAATAAGAAGGATACAATATATACATATATTATACGGGAATAGTTAAAATAAATTAATAACATTTACAAAAGTTACAAAAGAAAATACAAGAAGATAATTGACTAAAAAATGGCAAAATATGTCTAAACACAATTCCTTAGTTAAAAGTCAGGCTGAAGTGATTTCAACACTTCCAGCTGCTCTCAGATCCTCCTCAGTCTGTTCCAACGCTTGGAGCGTAAAAACTAAAGGCTGCCTCGCCAAAAGGTTTTTGTTCTGCACTTTGGAACTACTAGGACTCTCGTGCCAGAGGATCTGAGGAGCCGCACTGGTTCATACTCAGTGTGTGTGACATATATACCAGTGCAAAAACAAAGCATAAGTACAAACAGAGCAAAAATGTAGTAAAATGGAAAAACACTTTAAAAAGAGCTGTACTGAGTGGTGGCTTTAATGCAAATGCAAAAGATATTCCATGGTGCCCTTATACGGGACAAAGTCACACAGCAGAGGAGAAACCAAAATATTGAACATTTTATACACAAGAAACACTAACATCTGCGTACAGACCTCCCTGACAACATTTACTATGTGACATACAAATATCATCTTGGCATTTCTGTGTAAATTGATTTGTTTTGGTATTACATTTAAGTACTGATTTGTAGCTAATAAAGTAATCATGTTTGACAAATTTGCTTGACTCATTTAATAAATGAACAAATTCTAAGATCTATCCTATTAGAATATTATATTTGTAGGATTTGAATTGAGAAATCCGGCATTGTTTCAGCTCTCTGTAGCACTTTAATAAAGAACACTGTGTATCTCCTACATGTGTCTGCTAAACGAACTATATTTTCTGATTGCACAGAGGGAAGCAGGCCAGCAGGAAGGCAGAGGCTGACTCCAACAAAGGCAAAGAGAGAGAAGAAGATGGAGGAGGACTGCGTGAGAGAGGAGGAGGTGGTGGTGGTGGTGGAGCAACAGCAGAAAGAAGAGAAGAGAACAAATCTCAAAGGGGAAGCAGGTTACCCACCCTAAAGTACTACTTGAAACACAATCCCTAATTCCTTGTGTTATATCCCTTTTAATGCTGGAATGATTGCAGCAGAAACTTGCCAATTGTTTTTTTTGTTTTTCAGTAAAAGAATTTACTACTATTTACTTTGTCTTTCAGCTTCCTGTGGCTTTGCTCACATTTCCCAAAGGCTTGAAACAATGCGGTTCCTATGTCGGTTATCTATGCGCGTGCCACAGTCAGTATTGTAACTCAGTGTTTATTTTACAATGAATGGGAAATACAGTTTTACATTTATAATGAAGTTTGGCATTATTATTTCCTTACACATTTCTTTGTTTAAGCAAGAGTACCTAATGTTTCAGAGGGGGGGATATTACAAGGTTTTGAGTGTTATCAGGTCATCTTCTAATGTGCCAAAAGCTTGCTGAGTCTGACATTTCTGATCACTGCAATTTTTTTCAAAACACCTCCTACGACTTGCATTACATAAGCAGCACCACATCCACCACCCTCGTCCACCGAGCAAACCAGTCACCCCCATCCCACCCACTGACCGCCTTTATAAAAGTAAGTGTAAGTAAACAAAATCTATATGAGATGTAGTAGTGAATAGGAAGATTGTGAATAAGTGTGGAGGATGGGTTTAGTTCTTGTCAGTCTTAAAACATTGAATTGAAACAATATCTCATGACGCAGAGCATGGTCTCATGGCATGACTTCATCATTTTGTTTTGTCCTTTTAGCTTTCACTTCCCTGTTCACTGATTGGCCCGTAAGTACAGTGACGTCATGTTAATTAGCTCATGGATTGTGACCTGAAATTGGAGTTTGAGACAAAGACCCCATGGGAAAGAACAATTCATAAAGCTGAATTATGCATTAACTATTCTACAATTTGAATGTCCAAGACTGACATGGCAGTGTGTTATAGTGACAAGGGAACTGGCCCTTTAACTAGAACAACAAGCGTCAACAAGCGTCCACTGATCTGTCTTTTATCATGAATATTCAACCACCTTCACTTTGCTGTAAATTTCCTTATACTTGAATTAATTAATTTTTAGTGACAAACATGGGTTTGAAACATGGTCAGAATATATAAAATATATGAAAGTACTCTTACGGTGGTGGTCCACCCAAAAATGTAATTTAGCTTTGTAGCACTCACTTCAATGTCATGATTAAAAGTAGACAGTGAATGATGGATATAAGGACATTACATGATTCACACCTTTAAGCTCTATAGTTGGATGTAATATCTTAAATATTCAATGATCTCTCAGTCAGTCACTAATTTATCTGCAAATTTATCCTATAAACCAAATCGAAAAAGTATTTCCTGATTACATCGTCAATCCAAATCCTAATGCTCAAATGGCCCCAAGAGACATTTGTTTGTGTTTGCTGGTATTGACTGCGCTGTCAAAAATCATTGGTACAGCAGAGTGTGAAGTCTTGTTTTAGGGTGTGTTTTCCCTTTACAGGTGCACTCGTATTTCTCATATGGTTGGCTGACTTGGTGTACAATCCTAAATGTGCTGCAGTGACAGGTTGTTTGTCTTAGATTAATGACTTAATTTAAAGATAGCCAGTCCATGTTGCCTGATGAAAGAGTGAGCACATTTACAGCGCACCACTCTCCCTCATCCTCCTCCTTCTCCTCTCTTTTTCTCTCTGTTTCACGGACAAGCTTGTTTTAGTACAACTCACTGCATCCTGCCCATGAATCACACAGCACACACAGTAACCACCTAGACGTCTTCTGCTGACAGGTGAAACACGGTGACGAATCACTACAGTATCTGCCAAAACACCATAGATCACACTACTGCTGTCTGCCCATGCCAACAAAGCTAGCTCCTCTCTCTGTACTCACCATGAGCATGCTGCAAACAATGTAGTGTACGTGCAAGTGCATATGTGTGTGTAGAAGGGACTGACTGGCATATGTGCATGCATGCATTCAGCAGAGGACACATGTTTTTGATGCTAGACATCTTTCCATTTTCTTTTCAAGGGTTACATTGCTCTGTTTTCTTATGTAATACACTTGCATCAATACTTCTGACTGTCATTTCTTTTCTCCTATTCTTAAATGCAAGTTTGGTGTTGAGGTAATCTAAAAGTAACACAAAGAAATCAAATTCTGTTACTTTAATATTGTGATACTGGGATTAGGTTACTGACTATAGGTAACAAGTAATTGTATCAGATTACATTTTTAAAGTAACATTTTTAAAGTAAAGATATTATTGTAGCATAAAGATGCAGTGATCAATGACAGAATGAAAAGAGTATCCTTGTACAGTAGCATCTGTCAACAGTCTGAGTGGGTGGGTTTTTAAGTAGGCTGTGAAATTAAGACGGATTTAATCTTCTGAATTATTCCAGATGGGATTTGCCAAAATATAACTTATTGGTTCATCTATCCACATCATAATGAGCTCCAGCTTTGTGTTTATTATCATTAACTTCACAGAAATGCACTAGCAGACTGTTTTTGAATATCCTTGAAAACACTATTAGAGTCAAAATTGGCCCCGAGAGAAGGCCTTGTTCTAAAAAACTAAAAAATCTCGATATTCTCTGTCCTTTTTTATGAGGGACAGCAGATCATAAAACTGTCAAATCCACATTAAAAGTGCGGTGTATAGTTAAGTTTACAAATAAAATAAAATGTGCCCTCAGGGACACTTGACATTTGTGTGCCTTAGTCACACGAATTCCAAAATTCTCCATCACTTTATATACAAGTGAATTGAATCTCAGGAAACTGCCTAGTCATGCTTCAGGAGCAAAGATGACCCCTATGAAGAATTGCACCTATTTTATGACTTGTAAGATAAGATAAGATATTCCTTTATTTGTCCCACAATGGGGAAATTGTGTCATGCATCATGTTATTTTGGCCAGTCAGTAATCATTCAGCTGCAATGCTGAGATAAATGTGGATGCATATAAACTGTTATGTTCGGTATGATTTATTTAAAAGTTGCAATGACTTCAGAGCATACTTCATCCAGTACCATGCAGAGGTGCACAAATATATGTCCCTTATTTACTCATTTGAATATATGTGGACACTTATATGTGACTTGCAAATTCTCAGGCATTAAGAATGGAAATGAGACCATGGTCCTCTTTTTAAGTCCTTCACTGTGTCCTCCATCTTTGCCGCTGGTCTGAAGACACATCCCCCCCACATGTGCCCTGTTTTTAGATTCATTTAGACAGGAACACCTTCTCAGCACCCCAGTTTGTGGCGCACACTGGGTCCTTTGGGGTGTGTGTGTGTGTGCGTGTGTGTGTGCGTGTGTGTGTGTGTGTGTCCAAAATAGAGAAATCTGTGACTGTCAAACATACATTCAGATGCATACAGTCAAACAAGCAGGTCTGTGCATGGAAGCAGCCATAAAAGATACATACTGTATTTGATCATTAAACTGTCTGATATAATCATGTTAGTTCTGGATTAGATTATCTGGATGGTATCATGATATGTGACCTTTTAAAACAAGCATTAAACAAATGTCACAAACATTATGTTAATTTTAAAGGAAGTTAAACATTTTACATAATAGAGCTGTGACATGTTCAACAGGTAAAACAGCATCTTCAACCTGTGAAACGCTGTTGGCACTGTAAATACATTGTTGGAAGCTTTTTAAGAGACTGGGGCAACTTTTCACCATCAGAAAAACGCTGGGTAACACACACGCACGCACACACACACAGTTCATCAGGGAGTGGTGATGGAGCGGAATTGGGTGGTCTCTGGAGGCCAGGATGTAGGTCAGTGGTCTTTATCTCGCCCATTGCTCGGAGAGACTATTTCCTGCTGTGACATACAAACAAACTTCAGAGCTTATAGGAGGAAACAAGCTTTATGATAATGAGACAGCAGCATCCTCGCCGGCTCTCAGCCTGCGTGTTGCTGTTGCTTGAATGTTAAAAGCATATAGATATGTAATACCAATAGTAATAGTCATAATAGACTTATAGAGGAAGAAATGGAATTGAGTATAAATCATCACTGTGAAAGCTGCTTTGCATAGTTTGAACCTTATAGTTTAGGTTTGAGCTGCCTTGAGATTCCTGGTGTACACACTGGAGTGAGTGTGTTACTTAACATCTCACATGCAAATGTTCTTGCATAACATAATTCTGCTAATGTGATTACAGCTCTTACACACCAAAATATAGCCTATATACTACAAATTCATGTGTGTCACTCAAGTGTGAGTGCTGATTCTGGTTAAACACCAAGGACCAGAGAATTTTCCAGAAATCTATTTCTGTTACTGAAAGGTTCAAAAAGGAGGGAAAAAAATATCTTAATAAAGAATCTTAGTAATTGGTGTTTAAAGGAAAACCTCTTAAATGTCCCTAAAAGAAAAGTAGATCAAACCCCCCCCCCCATCCAACACACGCGTCGTGTGTTTTGGGGGCTGGTAAGGGGGGGTGCAGCACCAGCAGCATCCCCCTCAGCACGGGTGGGAAGCGTGGGTCCGCATCCTAATTAGAGGTGGGGGCGCTGAATGAAAATCACGACAGAGTGACGTGGAGGAGGAGAAGAGAGGAGGTGGGTGAGAATAGAATGGGAGGGGAAGCAGCTGCTACCTAGTCCATTTCCAGTCCAGCCTCTGCTTCTTTTGCTCAGTTTGCACACACACACACACACACACTGTTTGGTGGAGCACATCAACCGGACAACAAAGGGACGCACAGTGGGGGGCTCGGCACACTGCAGCCAGGACAGGATCACACGTTACCACCACCCAGTGTCAGCCACCAGCGCACTGAACTCTTTTATTTTTCTTCCACATCTACTGGGAAATAAATCATCAGTCAGTCTGGAGGTGACCGTCACAGAAGCGTTAAGTGCTCGCCTAGGTAAGCCTGTCAATTATCAGCTCATATAAGTGATCACTTCTTTCATTTGTTATGTTATGTGGTCTTTAAACACTCCTATCGTTATGTGTTTTTAAAGACTCCCGCCTCTTGATTTCAAGAGTGGAGTAAAATAATATATCTGCCATATATTAATCATTGTTTAAGTATAAAGTATTCTAGTTATTTTGGGGTCGCAGTTTCTGTGTTGCGCTACTCCCCGTGAAGGCTGCCGTGCGTCCGGCCGTGCGTCCGGCCGTGCGCTTGGGTTGTGAATATTTATAAAGAGGGAAATTAATCGGCTATTATCGATTCGTGACTGCGCCTCGGAGCGACTCTGACAGACAGTGTCGGGTCGTCATGAAGCATGCTGTCCGCTGCTCGGCTTAACAGCACTTAATCTGTCATTAGGGGGTTATTTTGAGACAGTGCACCAGCGACGGGCACCGGCTGCTTAACTTGATCAGCCGTCCCGAACCTCTCTCCCCGGTCCTTCCCTTCCTCTGCGCCCTCTTGTGTTTTGTTTACTTATTCGGTGGTGAAAACTTTTTTTTCACCGCATTCCTCCTGTTTTGTGCTTCTCCCCCCCCAACCCCCCACCCCACCCCAGACAGCACAGCCGTACTTGTGAGCCTCGGCACCGAGATGGAGATGGAGCACTTCGACGACCGGGACAAAGGTCACAGACACAGCCGCTCCAGCGCCAAGATGAACGGGGTACCGAGTCCGACGCACAGCGCCCACTGCAGCCTGTACCGGACCCGGACCTTGAAGACTCTGACCGCGGAGAAGAGAGCCAAGAAGGTCCGCTTCTACCGCAATGGAGACCGGTACTTCAACGGGATAGTGTACGCCATCTCCACAGACAGGTTCCGGACCTTTGACGCACTGCTGGCGGACCTGACCCGCTCCCTCTCCGACAACGTCAACCTGCCCCAGGGCGTCCGGACCATCTACACCCTGGATGGCTCTAAGAAGATCACTAATATTGACCAGCTGGTAGAAGGTGGGTATACAGAGCTACCTGGAGGGCTCAACTTACATCTCCAGGTTTATATGGTCTATGTGCCTCTCATCCACCTCTACTCATGGCCTTATCAGCATCCATCATGTTATATGTCTCTTCCTCTCTGCTAAAGAGCACCTCTTGTATAGAGTAAATTAACAAACTTAAGGCTATATGGTCCCAACATTAGACTCATTTATATTTACAGGCTGGTTTGTACTCAGGCAACATGGTATTTTTATGGGCATTGCTCTATAAAAATGGCTAAACACACTATTATTATGAAGATTAAATCACTCATGGTGATACAGACGTGTGTTTCGGCTCAGATTAGTTCAGTCTTGATCTGTTTTACTCTCTAAGAAGTAACATGGGTAGAGCTGAAAGTTTCTATCATCTTTGGTTATATGGCATATGAAAAAATAGTGTATGAAAAGTGGGAAGAAACTATTCCATATCAGTATATTTTTAAGTTTTAATATTTTTTTTGTAATTTATTATGCTGCCTGCTGATAGAATAATAGTGCTGTTGCTTGATTAAGAGAACAAAGTAGCCAGCCTATGCTATGGTATTTGTATACTTCCTTTCCTCTTCTTCGTCACCCTTTTTTGCTCAACCCCTCTCATCTCAGTTGTTATTTCTAAAGCTCATCTTATATCTTCCAATGATTTTATAAATAATCTCTCCTTGAATTCCCCCCCTTCCTCCCCTGCAACCCCAACAGGTGACAGCTATGTGTGCAGCTCCATTGAAGCTTACAAAAAGTTGGATTACACAAAAAACGTGAACCCCAACTGGTCGGTGAACGTCAAGGCCTCGGCGGCGTCCTCCCGCGGACCTCCTTCCCTGGGCAGCGCCAAAGCCGGGGCCCCTGAGAGCCGCGAGATCAAGGACTTCATTCGGCCAAAGCTTGTGACAGTGGTGCGGAGCGGAGTGAAGCCCCGCAAAGCTGTGAGGATCCTTCTCAACAAGAAAACTGCTCATTCGTACGAACAAGTCCTGACCGACATCACTGATGCCATCAAGCTGGACTCTGGAGTGGTGAAGAAGATCTACACGCTGGAGGGCAAACTGGTGAGAAATCCAAAACCAAATCATCACACTGTCACACAGCAATGTTTTATGGTTGGCAGCCCATTTTATAAGTATTGTTCATGTTGTGGAGGGCGACACTAAGCCCTTTTTATGGTATTGGGCACATCAGACATATCTTTGACTTGGTTTTATCATGGCTGGCAATGCTGTTTGTAAGCCTGCATTCAATATTTCGAAATGTTTCTAAAACTTGCAGTCTAAATGCCATCTCTGGTAATACAATCGGTGGGAGTTGATGTTTTGTTGCAAGTGGCACACATGATGAGTGGTTCTTTTGAGAGAAATAGACCAGACACTGAGATAATAGACACACGTTGCTGTTTTCATATGCGGTAGAAAGATTCTGCCACCCTGATTTCACGAGTTTGGTTGTTTTGCATTTGTGTTGCTTGGAGAGGGGAAGTAAAGATCAACAGGCTGATAGAAGATCATCAAAATGGCTAAATATTTTATGACCACACTCATTTTTCTTTCATGAGCTTTTTATGAATTAAGTGTCCCCGTTCACAGCCCGAGCTGTGACGACAGAGAGTGACACAGACCGAAAAGAGGTTGAGAAAAGGTTAAGATTAAAGAGATCTATGAATGGAGTCTCACCCACGCTGTAGCGATGTGTGCCAAGGCTTTGCCTCTGAACACGGAAATAAATCAGAGTCACAGCCCCCTTGATAGTCCACCCACCCATTCAGCTCCCTCTTTCAGCTGTGGAAGGAGATGCTATAAAAAGAATGCACTTTAACATAGTACTGTACATGTAGATATTCTCCACTACGGCACTAAAAATGAGGTGGTGGATGTATGTGGAAATGGTTCTGAACTTTCTTTCATGTTTGTGTGTATTTGTCAAAGAGAGAGAAAGTGTTTCTGCCAGCATGTCAGGGTTTCAGGTTATATTTGTGACACGCTTTAGATCTTTGGTCTCTTCCTGTTTGTTTCATGTCACCTCTGCGTCTCTCATGTCATCCCCCATCATCGTTGTGCCCGTCTTTCTGTCTGCTCCCCTTTCTCTAGGTCATTTTGTAGCTCCAAGTTATTGACTGTTGCGCCACAGAACAGCTTTTCCCCTGGCAGTAGCATCAGAATGACAGTATCGTTTTGAAACAGATTGTGTTTGACGTCAAGGGCGTCCTGCCATTTTGTGTCGTACAGCAGTAATCATCTCTTAAATGGCCAATTTGTGACTCGTTCTCATGAATATGTCCTTTGCCCTATGGGCTTTTTACTCTTAATTGCCATTTTAGTACCCTGTGTTACGATTTATCCCAGTTCTAAAGATTAATCTTCATGTGTTGGAACTGGCATTGCATCCTGTCTCTGAAGCCCAGCAGTCTATTTAATGATCCACTGTTAACCTAGTAGGAAGTCATTCCAGATTTCCTGATCTGACCTGGTGTTACAGAAGATCCCGGCACCAGCCAATAAAATCACAGTATCAGGTTTCCCTTGAGAAACCTCCTGCTGGGGATTAAACTCGCGCTTTTGCACAATGTCCACTAACTCTGCGGTTGCCATTGGTTACGATTATCTTGGAGATTACACAATAAACGCTGCTCTTGCCTGGCCCACCCCTTATGAGATTGGAAGTAAGACTAGTATGGTTGTGCTATTTTTAGACACTGTATTGATTGGACCCGTAGGCATGGTAACACGCTCACTGACAAATTGGCTGGGTTGGGCTGAGTGCACAACCAACTCCTTCTCATTTTTATGTGTGATTGTGAATGTGTGCGTGGGTTCTTGCATGTGGGAGAGTTTGTGATTATATTCAGTTGGAGAACAGAAAAGAGGCGAATTAGATATTCTAAAGCAACATGTGAATTAATGATGAAGTAACAGATTTGAAAGGAGTTAGTAGATTTGATAGGAGCACCTTTGCATAGAACTGAGTGTCCATGTTTGTTTCATGCTTGAGACCTGTTTCTGATTAGGTGAAAAGTCTCAGAAAACACAAAATAAGCTTGTAGGAAATTTAAACCCCCTATGAAATGTGGTTAATCCATTTTAACTTGACCATTACACAGAGAGAGAGAAGCAGGCTTAGCTTATTATAACAGGAAATTAACCTCAATATGACAAAGCAAATAACAACCACATAAATGATGTCTAAACATCTAAATGAAAAATTCATAATGGTAATATAGAGAAGTGAAAGCGGGCAGGATGGGATGACTCGTGAACAAACTGTATGTTAATGACACTTGAATATACATTATTGAATATCAGGAGTGCGCTAAAGGTAGTTACCTGAGTGCTCACCGGGATAAGGTTACTTTAGGGGTTAAGCAGAGTGTATGTGTGTGTGTGTGTATAGCTGCATGTGTGTGTATGCATGTTTTTGTGTGTGTGGGCTGCTGCCGTCAGCTGAGCCCTGTCCGTCATTGAGCCTACAGCAGAAGTAGGTTTCTGGGCCTGGCTGCCAGTAACGTTGAGTCCCAGCAGAGCTGCAGAGCCTAGAGAGAGCATCTGACAACCGGAGCTCAGGCTCCTTGGCTTCATTAACCCCTGTAATGAGGCCAGAGACAGTGGGGCATGTATATGTATATCCTCACAGCCCTTATAGTCTTCCTCTCTTTGTCTTTGTCTCCAGTCGTTCTCAAGGATTTCAGCAGCCTGCAAGACTGTTGGATATGGATGGATTTTACATAATTACTAGTAAATCAGATCATGCTAAATTGTGCTGAGATGAATAATGGATTATGTTTTTGGTATCTGAAGTTGGGCTAAGAGTTCAGCTGAGAGTTTCAGCTACAGTCCTCTGTCAGTCCTTTCATTACTCCTCTTCATTTAAATGTGTTTTAATGTGCATCTATCTGAATTTGTGACTGCGTAGGACTTTTCAATACAATACTGTTGCCAATATTGTTTGTGATACCTTGGTTTGAGGAAAATATTTCTGCCAACCCCTTTTTTAATTTTACAAAGGGACCCAAATTTCTCAAGTATCAAATCCTATCTAAACACAAGCCGCCATACAAGAACTTCAAAATACAAAATATAACTGGCAAAATTATAAATTAGAATTGAAAATTTGACTTCAAGTCTTACCAGGCATTCAATCCCACCTTTTGGCACTTCGTGTTTTTTAAACTTGAGTCAGTAACAAAACGGGGTCATCCCTATGTTC